ATTGAGCTTTTTATCATAAACACAACTATCATATTTTCTCCTAGAGTAACAATGCTCAAACATGAAAGTATCATCTCAAATACTACTATCTCAGAGACTGTTTCAAGCCATAAAGAGATTTCTTCAACCTACACACATGATCTTCTTTACCTTCACTAATGAACCTCTCTGGCTGATGCATAAAGATCTGCTCTTCAAGCTCGCTATATAGAAAACTCGTCTTCACATCAACTTGCTTAAACTCCAAATTAAAATGAATAATCATGGCAAGCAACACGTCGATTGAGGTGTGTTTTATAACTAAAAAAAATACTTCATTGAAATCCACACTTTCAATCTGACTGTAGTCTTTAGTTACCAAGCGTGTCTTGTATCTTACAGAATCTATATCCAGAGTTCCTTCTTTCTTCTTGTACACCCATTTACAATAAACAATCTTTTATCCCCTTGGTGGCTTCACTAACTCCCATGTCTGGTTCTTGTGAAGAAACTCCATCTCTTCAGTCATCACAATAGTCAAATCTGTAGCGTCACTACCACTAATAGCCTCTTTATAGGTAGAAGGTTCTGAAATCTCAATCGATTCTGCTATACTCAAAGTGTAAGCAAGCGTGTCTGTATAACGTTGGAAAGGTCGAATCTGCCTTTTTGTTCTCCCACTTTCAATATTATTTGTTGCTCCTGCAGTGTATCAGCATCTGAAATTGAACCTTCCGCATTGTTAACTAGCTCAATATGAGCACTCTCAAGCACTCTCTTTGAAGTTGAGTTCTCTAGCTCCACCTACTTGCTAGACTTATTTTCAGTACTCATGGTATCAATAACAAACTCCTTTCTCAGGTGAAGCATGGATTTCTCATCAAAAATATCATCACTACTAATAATAAATGTAGATGATTTGAGATCAGAACACCACAATTTATATCCCATTACCCCATTAGCATATCCTAAAAAGATAGTTTTCTTTGCTATGGGTTTAAGTTTACCATCACTAACATGAAAATAAGCAGAGCAACCAAATACTCTTAAATGAGAGTAATTAGCAGGGGCACCAGACCATATGTCTTCTGGAGTCATAAAATTAATTGATGTAGAAGGAGATCTGTTTATCAAATAGCAAGCTGTATTGACTGCCTCGACCTAATAGTATTTTGACAGACCTGCATTATAGAGCATGCACGGAGCTCTCTCTAAAGTGTTCTATTCATCCTTTCTACAACTCCATTTTGTTATGGTGTATGTTGAACTCTACGATGATGCACAATACTTTCAGTCTTGCAGAACTGGTCAAACCCTACAGAGCAAAACTTCATCTCATTGTCGGTTCTGAGGCGCTTCACTTTTTTTCCTGTTTGCTACTTAATCATAACCTTTCATTACTTGAAGATTGTAAATACATCACTCTTATGCTTCAAAGGATATACCCAAAATTTTCTGGAATAATCATCAATCAATATTTGCAGAAAATGAGCTCCACCCTTCGATGGAACCTGAGAGGGACCCCAAACATGTGAATGGATATAATCTAAAGTACCATTGGTTTTGTGAATACCGGTACTAAAAGAGACTCTTTGGTGTTTGTTGAAAACACAATGCTCACAAAAGTCCAATTTGCTAGTTTTCTGACCATAAAGCAGACCTTATTTGCTTAATACATCTAGTCCTCTTTCACTCATATGCTCTAACCATATATGCCACGAACGTGTAGTGTCAGAATTTGAATCCTCTGAGGATGAAATTTATACAACATCTGTCACTGTACTGCCTTTAAGGATGTAGAGATTGGTTATTTTCTTTCCTTTCATAACAACAAGAGAGTCTTTACTAACTCCTCCACCTTCAGCCAAAAACTTAAAACCATTGGAGTCAATGGTGCCTAAAGAAATGAGGTTCTTCTTTAATTCTGATATATATCAAACATTGCTCAGTGTTCTAATAATACCATCATGAGTTCTAATTTTAATTGATCTAATATCAATAGTCTTGCAATGCATGTTATTTCCCAACAAGACATTCCCACCATCAATAGACTGATATGTGTCAAATTAATCCCTATGCGGACACATATTGTAGGAACAACCCGAATCAAGAACCAACTCATCATGTGAATGAGTATTAACACTAACTGAAAGAACTTCATGTGAACTAGAAGAGTTTTCAGTTATAGTAGCAATTGAAGGTTTCACCTCCTAAGACTTCGACTGTGAATTATCCTTTAAGTATATAGAGTATTAACACTAATATTTTTTCTTGGTCTTGACTTTGATCTAGATATGTTTCAAGATTTGCATCTACTATCAACACTCTTTTCAGGACGATCACAGACAAACAAGCCATCGGTTTGATCCTCACCTCCTACAATAGATGCTTTCTACCTTAATTCTTTTGAATGTAAGGTTGACTTGACATTCTTCAAAGAAAGTGTATCTCTACCATAAAAGATACTATTGACAAAATTTTCATAGGAAGGAGGTAATGAACATAACAAAATAAGGGCATGATCTTCTTCATCAATTTTAACATTTATATTTTTTTTAATCTATAAGAATAGTGTTAAGTTCATCTAAGTGGTCTTTAATTCGCATACCTTCCTTCATGCGAAAGGTGAAGAGGAGTTGCTTCAAGTAGAGCTTGTTCGTTAGAGATTTCATCATGTATAAGCTCTCCAACTCGAGCCACAGGCCAGTAGCGGTATCATCATTGGTAACCTCCCGCAAGACTTCATTAGCCAAACAGAGTTGTGTGGCACTATGCGCCTTCAATTTTATCTCTTCTTTCTCATCATCGAGCATGGATTTCAGCAACTTATCCTTTTCGGACAAGACTTTGGACAACCCTCGTTGTAGAAGTAATACCCCTATTTTGACTCTCCACAAACTGAACATGTGTCTTCTATCGAATTTCTCTACTTTGTAATTTATAGAATACATCTTGAGGCCCACTAGAACAATAACTATACTTGTGAATAGTAATAGTATTTGTAAATAGTAACAATACTTATGAATAGTACCATATTGGTAAATAGTATCCAGTGCCTTTAAAGGGTGAATGATAATCTAACTTATTTTGTGATATGGAGGATCCACTTTTAGTGGCAGCCACAGGACATATGATAAGCAGATGCACGCATCCTAAGTCAGGCTCTGATACCAGTTTGTTACAGCGGGATGCTCCACAAACACAGAAGATGTGTATACAAAAGTGATTAATAATAGTACAGTACTGTGTAATCACAGTATAAACAGATAACAACATATAAGGATTTAATGTGATTCGGTCAGTGTGACCTACGTCCACGGGTGAGAACAGCAGAAAAATTCACTAATCATAAAAAAAAGATTACAAAGGAGATCACTCTCTAACCTCACCAGAGAATCACACAAAGAAAAAAATTAATTCTCTATATAAATTAATTCTTTCTATCTCTCTCTTTTCTAAAACTCCTCTCTGTCCCGATGTTCCTAACGCCCCACCATTCCTCCTCATTTATAGCCCTTCAATTACAATAAAAATTGCCAATAGTAGGTGAAACAGTATTGGAGGTAGGTGAAACAGTAAAGTTTGGTGAATCAAAATGCAATCTTGATTTCTCTTCTCTTCATTCAAAGTCACATTTCACAAATGACGACAAAGGTCTACTCCACTTTCTGCATCTTACTAGACTTCCAAACTTTCATTTTGGAATAACTATCGCACACCATTTAGAGAGGTTTATAATATATCTCTTGAATAGGGGTCCTCGCCTTATTTTTACTTCAAAAAGATTCCTAGAAAATTTAATAATTCTACAGTAAATGATATCAAACCAATATTGCGGCTCAAGTAGGAAAGTCTAGGGTATATCTCATGATGTTGGGACGATGACAACGTCTGATTCGTGTATTGTAGAATCATGCTAGTCCAAAATTATGGAAAGATCCATGAATGTTAGTGATCATGCTGCCTGCAGGAGATCATGTTTGTCTACAAACACTAGAAGATTTTATGAATTTAAGTAGCTAGGTCCTGGTACAACGGAGACCCCTTAATGCACCTATTAGAAAAACGATAATATTGGAGTTAATGAGGCTAGGAGATTTAGCGGTAGGTTAGAGGTAATTAAAAAGGAAATGATTACAACTAACTTAACGGAGAAGATGACACATAACAGAATGGAATGAAAAAATAAGATTCATGTAGCGATCCTAAATATTACCTAGGGACATCTAGTAATTGTATGAATGGTGAACTATATATGTCTCGTCAATAAGTGACTAGATATCGAAGATTTAGTGTAGTTTACCGGTTTAATTTACCTGCCAATGCGTATAATGTTCAGTGCTTCCTTGCTATTTATGCTGACAAATTAAATTAATACGCTCACACATTGACAATTGTACCTTCTATAATGGCTTGATTCTTATTGATTCAGGAATACTATTCATGTTAAATTTATATTCACTAGTGATATGAGAAACAAATAAGCCGGGTAGTAATTCGTTTTCCTATACATTCATATTTTCATTCATTTTGTAGTTGGCACTGTCCCCTTCAAGAAATGCACAATTCCGTAATATGCATGAACTGAGATTTAATTCCTTCCGCAAATGAGATGTATAGTTCGTATATTCTAGCTATATGTAATATGCATGAACTGAGATTTAATTCCTTCCGCAAATGAGATGTATAGTTCGTATATTCTAGCTATATGCCGTTGTTAGCCGAACCTTGCCACCTTTTTCCGCAAATGAGATGTATAGTTCGTATATTCTAGCTATATGCCGTTGTTAGCCGAACCTTGCCACCTTTTCAACAAAGAAATTAAACTGTCTTATAAATAGTGCACATTTCCTCCTCGTTCGCAACTCGCAAGTTTCTTTTGAGAAAATTCTTGTTTGCAAGTTAACATGGTGGGCAGCTAATTAGCCCATTGTTTGCTTTCGTGTTAGATTTAGTACTTACATTAAAACTTGATGACTGAAATATTTTTAACTATCATTTTATAGGATATCTTTCACGTTATGCTAATATTTGGCCTAGCCACTTTGTTAGAAGTTGGCATAGCTGGTGCAGGCCCTCCGCCTGTATTCAACGTCCTAAACTTCGGAGCGAAGGGAGATGGTTTTGCAGATGACACACAGGTATTATTGCAGACGTATATGTACTATCTACCCTTCTGTAAATATTATGATTAATTCATAAACGCTATGACCATTGATTTACGTTCAATATATTGTAGGCTTTTTCAAAAGCATGGGTGGCCGCTTGCTCGGCAACTACAGGACCACCAACAATGTATGTGCCTAAGGGCAGGACTTTTCTTGTGTCGCCCATAACATTCAAGGGTCCTTGTAGATTCCAGAAAGTTTTATTTCAGGTGACACAAGAAACAAATACCTATATATTTCATAAGAGGGTAAATCTTAATAAAAAAGGGTAAATTTTAATAAAAAGGGTAAATTTTAGACAAGAACTTCTAGACTTTATAAATAAGAGAAAATGGGGTAATGGACAGAGTAATACGACATGATTGACGTGTCTTTTCCTCCCATATAAATGCTCTTCATTCAAATATTCATCATAAACTTTGCTTAGACATATTTCAAACTTATTACTCTACCCGTCAACATTTGTGAGATTTCCAGTAGTTCAGGGGTTAGTATGGTCATGAAACTTCAGGAGGGGTTTTAGTGAAATGTTTCAAAATGATTAACGGAAATTTCACAAATTTAAAGTGGGCCTTTAGTTTCTTGTTACCATATTTTTCAATTATGATCACTTACTCAATGTTTTCGTCTCTCATTTTTCTTATTAGATGGAAGGCACATTGATAGCACCAAACGATCCCAGAAGGTGGAAAGGAATAGATCCATCTCTCTGGTTGCAGTTTCAGCATGTTGGTACACTGAATGTCTTTGGTGGAGGTATAATAAATGGTCGAGGGCAAAATTGGTGGAAACAATCATGCAAAGATAACCCAAAACCGGTATGATACACAAATGTTTCGAATGTTTCTAATTTGTGAATCGAATTAGTTTCACAATGTCAGATATCTAATTCATAAGATATCTGGTGTCCTAATTCATAAGATAGTTTATAACATATTTTTCGGATCTAATTATCATGGATAAACTTAAAACGAACCTTTTCTATTACTTATTTGGTTTTATTTATCAAACTCATGTCCATGAATCCGTATTTGGATTTAGTAATGCAAAACTGACAACTAATTTAATTCTTCTAACCAAAATTCCTTTGACTTTAGGGTTCGAATTAGTATATAAAAAATTTAATAGTAACCAGTCATGTCAAAGAATCAGCTATTATGTAAGTAATATAGTAATTTGATTTTGTATTACACCTTAGTGTGAACTAAAGAATGATAATTATGCTTCTCTTGCTTGAAAGTAGACTATACATTTTAAGACGTCAAACATAAACACTTTCTAATGAAACTCTTTTCTTTCGGCAGGGATGCACTCATAAAGCACCAACTGTGAGTATTCCTTTTCTTTAAGTACAATTAAAATTGCTCAAAACTTGAGACTAATTACAGAAGGAGCTGGTTTTTAAGTAGATTGACAAGCTGTACACAATACTGCTAAAAAAAATTTCCCCTAGTAAAATGTCTTAATGCGTGTACTAATTACAGAAGGAAAAAGTTTAGCCAATTTTGTAAACCAAACATGAGTCTTTCAGATGAGAGACATTGTTTGATACATTTATTGTAAATACTGATATATATTTCAGCATCCGCGAGATATTTTTTGTTTATACTTGTATTGCTGGCAAGAATCAACAATATCTAAATGTGCACGCAACAGTGCAAACTGTTACTATGGTATGTGATCCTTAATTTATCAAATATAATGATTACTGTTGATGGAGTGATGACACAAATTACTTAATCTAAAGTTGACTAAAGGCTCAGATATCATTTACTTACAGTAGCTCAAGCTACAATTTGTTTGCTTTTCCAGGCAATAACATTTGTAGATTGTAACGACCTCTGGGTGAGAGATCTGCAATCTGTTGACAGTCCACAAGTACATATGCTCCTCATTAACTGTCAACGAGTGACTCTTTCAAACCTCAAGATGGTTGCTCCTGAAAATAGCCCCAACACTGATGGTATCCATGTTAAAAATTCACAACACGTATATATCCATAATTCAGCCATACACTAAAACTTTGAAGTTCTGGTGAGGGCTATAAATTTATATTGTAACTTGCCTTGGCAGGTTGAAGATCCTTTGATAGGCTGAAACCTGGACCTATGGAGCACTTTCTTTTTTATTTAAATCCACTTTAAAATTTTGTGGCCAGTAGGAATTGACTTTGGTTGCTTTTATATCATTCTAAAGTCTGTGCCACTACACAAGAATCTAAAGTTGTTTTGAGGTTTGAGGATTAAAATTTTATACTCCAGCAATATTGAATATACGATCACTTTTATTGAAATACAGGTGATGATTGCATATCTATTGGAGATCATGTTAACGATGTTCATATAGATCGGATTGTCTGTGGACCAGGACATGGCATTAGGTTCATGATCTATTTTTATAAATAAACACTGATGTTGCTTTTATTTAGTGTAATGTGATGATTGATAATTTAATTGGTTGATAGCATTGGAAGCTTAGGAAGGTATGGCAGTGTAGCTTCAGTCGAAGGTATAACCGTTAGGTATTCTAACTTTTATGGGACAACAAATGGAGTAAGAATCAAGACATGGCAGGTAAATAATTTTTGTATTATTTCCATTTAAAAATGCTTCAATGTTAAGTCATATATATATCTATATTTTGAATTCATGATTAATTTAAAATTAAACTATTTTATAGGGAGGAAAAGGGTTTGTAAGAGGAATCAGGTTTGAGCATTGCAACTTCACCAAAGTTGATAATCCTGTAATCATTGACCAGTATTATTGTGATGCCCCAATCAATTGCCCACCTCAGGTACATATGGCTTTGCCTATAGTCTATTCTGCTCATCAAATGTCACATTTTTCCCTTCATTTTTGGACTGTTGAAGATAAACAGTCTCTCTCAGAAAGGAGGTGTAATTATTCGATATTAGTACCGTAATGATAACTATACACTTTACATTTTATTGAAGAACTTTTGCAAAAGATTCATGAACTTGCAAAATAAGGACACTTTTATTTAACGGTAGATTTCACAAAACCACCTTAAGTTTAGGTGTTTCTCAGATAACCCCCGTTAATTAGCAAAATGTTATAACACCCCACCCTCGGAGTTTTAGGGTCTTAGAAAACCCCTTATAACTTTAAATGTTTTCAAAGAACCCCTTAAAAGCATCAACCACAATTTTCCCTGCCTAAAGCATCCCATGTTTGTCACTTTACTCACCAATGTGTAAATTGCTGTTAACTCTATTAGAGGGATTTCCTTTAAAAAATGAAATTTAAAGGGGTCTGTGAACCCCAAAACTAAAGGAGGATTTTGGGACATTTTGAATGTTAATGGAAGTTATCTGAGAAATGCCTAAACTTAAGGAAGTTCTGAAAATTAACCTTTATCTTTAGTATAACTCTATGTTTCGTTAAGAACTATTTTTCTTTTCTTTGGGAACATTCAAAACAGAAAAACTAAAAGAAAAAGTTTATTCAAAAATTTTGAACTCGATACTGAATCCTCTTTCGTTCATTCCTCTCTGTTCGGTTCGCCTTTGTTTAAATCAGATCCTTGATAAGTGTCAAGAGTGTTTTTATATACAATATTTCATATGGAAAATAATGTTCACAATTATGTAATCTGTCAAAATGTAAGGGTATTTTTAAAGCGGTATTTAAAACTTTAGAAAGTTCAAAAGAGAGTAACAGAATACAATAAAAAACAAAATCTTTACAGGAAATCCCTTACAAACACTTCTGAAATTTTTTTGAGGTATCAGTATATCTTTGCATAGAAATATATACAATTCTTAATTTCTAATCTACTTGCATTTCATGTTGAAGAAAAATGCAGTTCAAATCAGCAACGTAACATATGCAAATTTGTATGGAAGTTCAAGCACCCCAGTTGCAGTAAGTCTTAACTGTAGCCAGAATGTACCGTGCACGTTGATGGAGTTCGATACTTTGAATATTTTCTCATCAAACCGCCGGGTTAGCACAAAAGCCTCTTGCATCAATGCCCACGGCTTCACCAGGGGATTCATATATCCGCAAATTTCAAAAGCCTCTTGCATCAATGCCCACGGCTTCACCAGGGGATTCATATATCCGCAAATTTCATGTCTTCGAGCACCAGCATGAACTTACACCTAGAACATTTGAATTGCATCAGTGTGATGTTTGTTGTGGTTGAGTTAATTCTTTGTTATGTACTTGATATAATAAGAAGGAGGTGAGGTTTTCTGCTTACGCAATGGAATCTAGTGGAAAGTGCTTCTTCTGTTCTTAAACTCGTTGCTTGTTGGCATTTTAAAAAAAATTATGAACTTATAATCATCGTCGCTGCTGTGGTGGAAGGAGTAACATAGTATCAAAGTAATCTAAGTTCCATTCCAACCGCCCATGAATTTATTTACTATAAGTTATTATAATAAATAATTTTAGTTTTCTATTCGATTCAAGATAGATTAATTGGACGAATGATGTATCAAAATTGAAAATATTCATTAACCACGGTACATTGTATTAATGATGTATCAAAGAAATATCAACCTCTAAATTAATAAATTTCAGAAGTAGTTCCATAATTCAAAAGTAGACATGGTTGACAGCAATTTTGTCATTGCATGGTGCTAATTCTAACTCAGTAAGTCATGTTTCAGTTAACTAAAACTGCCTAAGTTATCTTTTGACCTGAAAACTGAGAGCAACTTTATTTTCTTATCAAGTCAGAAAATCAACAATTTTTTCTAACGTCAACGCTAACAGCCAATTACAGTTCAAGTGGTCTCTTATTAATGCAGTCCTAATTATAAGTTAATGAGTGATAATTTCTATGCATAAATCAACCACACGCCCATGAGAGTACTGCATGGACTGTGTTTATTGTTTTAGATTTTGGAGCCATTAGCGATGGCACTATTGATGATACAAATTAACGTAAAATTTTCCTCCCCTTTTTATATTTTCTGATAAAATTAACAATTCATATGATTTTCTTCTCCGTTGTTGTAAAGTAAAATAGTTAATGAAAGTTATAGATTGTTAATTTCTCTTTATAATTAACATAGAGTTCCAACTCTGCATTTCATAAGTAACACAGAGTCCCAACTCTGCATTTTTGTTATAAGAAAATGAGTCATCTTCTTCATTGCTAAAAACTCATTTAGGGTTTCAAATATCGAAGCAAGTTCTCACGGCTGTCACCTACCATAGCAGGGAGGCCCACAGGGCGGCGGCAACGACGAGGTGCCCGAGAAAGCTAAAACACCGCCGGCATCTTTAACCGATGGCGTATCTGAAGTCGTTCCCACGACTTTCTTCGAGCCAGAGCTCATTCTCCGTGGCGCCATGGATGTTGCTGGTCGAACAAGATGGAGTTCATCGGAGGTTCTGTCAAAATTAACAAGAATTCTCATTTACGGAATCAAGACAAGAGAAGAAAGAGTCAAGTGACTCTTGATTTGACCGCTAAAGTCTATTTATAACAGTCGTCAAGCTGTTAAGGCTATACGGGATTCTAGGAGAGAATCCTAACCATTTTGAAATACAATCTCAGCGTTAATGGATAAAAGTCAGTTAGGCTTTAACCCAAATACAGAGTTCACCCCTGCGTTCAAATTCTAAATGCTAGGTCTAGACCTGTGTTATGAGAGGTCCTAACTCTGCTTTTCGAACTCAAAACGCAGAGGTCACCTTGGTGTTCCAATTATTCTAAATAAGACGTCCACCCTTGCATTCATGAATTCTTTTAATAGAGTGATGTTAAAACATCTGTATCTCCTCAGTAGGGTTTAAGCCGATTCAGCTGACAAAATTCTCTATTGTCGTCAAGTTAACACTATACTTCTGACGACCATCATCCCCATAGAGTCTGAATTCCTCTGTCAAAATCAACTTATTGATTCTCATCAATAGAACGATAAGTCCCTAAAATCACTCAACTCATGATCAATTTATTGACCCTCCTCAGTAGAGTAATAAATTACCAACTTATCAACTCTCTTCAGCAGAGTGATAAGTTTCCAAATCTTGTTCAAATTATAAGTACTAAAAATTCATCACCTCGAATGATATCACACCTCTGACAATCAACTTATTGACTCTCTCTAATAGAGCGATAGGTCCTCAAAGTCGCTCCGATCGTAATAAATTTCTATCACGTTAATATCACACCTCTAATAATCAATTTATCGACTCTCTCTAATAGAGCGATAGGTCCTCAAAGTTGTTCCGATCGTAACAAATTTCTGTCATGTTAATATCACACATCTGTCAATCAACTTATAGACTCTCTCTAATAGAGCGATAGGTCCTCAAAGTTACTCCGATCGTAATAAATTTCTATCACATTAATATCACACCTTTGACAATCAACTTATCGACTCTCTCTAATAGAGCGATAGGTCCTCAAAGTTGCTCTGATTATAATAAATTTCTGTCATGTTAATATTACACCTCTGACAATCAACTTACCGACTCTCTTCAATAGAGCAATAGGTCCTCAAAGTTGCTCCGATCGTAACAAACTCATGTCATACTAATATCATACCTCTGATAATCATTCCTATCACGTTAACATCATACCTCTGACAAAATCAATTTATCGACTCTTCTCAATAGAACGATAAGCCCACAAACTCGTCTCGTTAATATCACACCTCTAACAATCAAAATCACTTGTCAATCCCTTTCAATAGATTGATAAGTCCGCAAATCGTTGTTATGTTAACACTATACCTCTAACAGTTAAAACCCCCTTTCAACTTGTTATTCTTTTGCATATGAGTAACAAGTGTTCATAAAATCCCCAGCGGATTAAACTTTTCTAGAATTACCTCAAGTGGTGATGAAGAAAAGAAAGCTTCTGAATTTATCCTAAGTAAAAATTCACGCCACGTTAATATTACACATCCGGCGCTTATAAGTTTCTTTCAGTGTTTCAAATGAAAATGTAACACAAGAAGAAACAAACTTGTTAATTCTTTCCAGGAGAATGACAATCAACTCCAAGGGTTTGATGATTATTAAATAGAATATCAAATCTGGGAGACAATCATCATCCCTAGTAGATTAAAACTATCCGGAATTATCGTAAATGATAATAAAGATAAATATTAAATCTCGCTTCGTGAAGGAATTTATGCTAAGTTAAAATCACACCTCTGGCATTTTCAATTATTTTCATTGTTTGGAGTCAAAATATGACACATAAGAAACAGTGGAAAGCTAGAATGATGTCACTTTTTATTCAAAATGTTAAGAAGTAATACATAATTTTGTTCTTCCCAAAAAGAGAATACAGAGTTAAGCCCCTAAGCCCATTAAGTTAAAAGATACGAGTGTGGACTTTATAGCAGAGAGCTTTTCCTCATGATCAGCTCGTACTATTATTTTAGCTCTCTTCTTAAGTTAATTCTCATCCGGCATTGTCAGGGCAGCTTCCTTCTGGGTACGCTCAAGAACCTGGACCGCCACGTGGTAAGTGGCATAAGTCCTTACACTTTCAAAAGTGAGCCTTTTCAGGATTTCTTCTTCTTGACCAAGCTCAGGCTTGTGTCAAGCCAACTCCACCTCCAATCGATCAATCTATGCTTGAGACGTCTATATAGCAGTGTTGGAAGCAATCACTACTTCTTGCCTCTGAGCGCATTGATCCTTTAAGAGTGCAATCTTAAGCTCTTATTCAGCTAAGGTCTTTTGTAAGAATTCATAATTATGTGCTGCTTCAGCTTGGAAATCAGCGAAAGTTGATGTAATCCGAGTATTAAGATCAGCACAATGCAATTCTTCCAAAGTTTTCAAGTCCTCTTCCAGGTGAGAGATATTATCTGAGCAACGATGAAGCCATTGAGCATTGTCTACGTACTTGATACCGCTCAGATAGTTTAATAATATTGGCTTGAAATAATCGAATGAAGCTCGTCTGGCACTGACCTCTTTAATCATCATCTTCATCATATTCTCCAACTGTTCCATAAGAACTTTAAGCACAGAAGGAATGACCACTGGACTTAGTGAAGCAACGGAAGATGTCACCGGGGCTCCCGAAATTGTAGAACTCGGCATGAGAACGGTTGGTGATGATGGTGAAGAAACCGAAGAAGGCAATACAACATCTAATTGTGAAGGACTTAAAGAAAGAACCATGAGCACCCCCGCTTGAGCTGAGCTTAGCGTACTCTCAGCCTCCCCAGGTTTGAGAGAAATCATTAACAGAGGTGATTTTTCTGGTGGAGGAGTTATCATCGCATGCTGCTCTGGTAAAGTAGTGGCCACTATCGGTGATTGCTCCAGGAGAGAAGTTGTTATTGCTTGTTGTTTAGGAGGCGGAGTTACGTCAGTGGCCTCATGAGCCGAGGATCCTGTATATGAAAGTAATTAGCATATAAAAAGAAAATACCAGAAAGTTTAGAGTGGATAACACTTACCGACGGGAGAAGGAAGGATGTTGGCCGATGCCTTATCAGAAGAGGACGGTGGTGGAATATCCCAATCATTGAGTTCATCATCGTTGCGGCCACTATCATCATCCCCATCATCAGCACCATCATCGTGTGAAGAGGTATCATAATCTACTTCCTCCTCTACAGCTGAAGGTCTAGGGGAACTCACGACGCAGCTGTCTTAGTCATGATTCCTATTGTTGGGCTAGGGATTGTATCCCCTATAGGTAGCATTAACACTAAAGTGGCAGGAGATTGATTTCCGTCAAGTTTTTTAAGTTCGGCCACTACAGGTTCATCTACGGGAGGTCTAACCCCTTCAGATTAAGATGCTGTAGGCATCACCTCTATGGTTGGACGAGCGACACCTGAAGCTTGACCTGGAGCTGTTGAAGCAATAGGGTCTATTATGGGGAAAGACTTTAAATCCCCAGCAAACGACTCACCCTCACCCTTTTCCTCATCCAAGGGGTGATAGGAAGAAAATCTGCTTGATAAAGAAGGACCCATGGAACGGAGTCCGGTGTGAGGGGGAAGACTTGCAATGGTAGATTCCTGTCTTTCCTCTCTCTCTCAACGGACTTGAAAGCATCCGCCATTAATTTCTACGGAGGAGAATCTGCTAACAATTTTCTACGGGTATGTTTCTCGTACTGACCCGCTTCCTCCTCGGTAAGAGCCCTTTTTCTAGCTGCCCTTATTCTTGGAGTTACGGCAGCCCTAAGCCCTTCTTCTTGAGCGCTCTCCAGTCCTTGGTCTCCCTCTTATTCTTCAGCTTCATCCTCATAGGATAAGAACTCGCTGATTCCTTTTAGACGAGATACTCAGGATCCTTTTCTAGATGAATACATTTTTCTAATTTCTCATAAACCAGAGAAATTCAGCATGTAATCAGGCAAACTTAGAAGCTATGTGATACCAATTGCAGAAAGCCATGGAGGTGGAAGAGTTGGATGTCTTGTGAGGTAATCTGAATGTAGCCCCATTACAGCCCGCTATAGAATAGTACCAGGCCTAAGCTCCTTCATATAGATTACTAATGGCCGCAAGCTGACCCCGTGGATTCCCAATGTATAATTAGTCATACCTGAACTGTCAGGCGAACCTGTACGGTTAATATGACTCAACTATACACTTCTCACTCTGTCTGAAAAGGAGATAACCTGGTCTGATATTAAGTAACCAGCAGAAGACTCCTTCATCCAATCGAGTGAAACCGTTCGGACCAGCTGTGTCTTGAAATACCTATCCATATCCCCCACCTTCAAAGGCCGAGAAGCAATGGAATATATGATAGTTGAGATCTCTCGATAAGATTCGACGAACCTTTACTACATACGTTCCTTCCCAAGTAGCTTTTTCTAACCTTAGTATGAAGGAACGAATACATCACCTGAGGAAAATGGTGCACTCATTAGGTGAGGACAATGAGATGCGTACCATGCCATCAGATAGGTATATGGAAATGGTACTCGAGGATTAGGAGTTATCAAACTTTTCTTCTCTCCGGAGCCTATCTCTTTCACCTGAATAAATTCAAGGCATAGTTCCCTCAGATCATATTGCAAACAGCACACCGTAGCTGAAAGTAAATTCACTGGCCTCCCATGGGCCAAGAGAACAGCTGGATAGACTACTTCTGCTATCACGACATCTATCAGTCTGGTGGGGATGATGTATCGTTTTAGCCATAACATGAGAAACCCCGCCAGTAAAGCCATGTCAGAAATGAGAGTGGCAGCTTAGTGGTGGACCGCCAGTAAAGCCATGTCAGAAATGAGAGTGGCAGCTTAGTGGTGGAAACTTTTGAACTCAGTCTGAGCGAGGAAGCCAACTTCTCCTCCCTCATTTATGTAATGAGTTGTAGCGTCAATGATCAAAGCTTGAATAATCTCCAGAGTACTCACATCTTGAAGAGATACAACAGCAACCTTATGAGATAAGTACTAAAAAAGATATTCAACCTAAGACAGCTACTTTACGCCACCTCCTCATGTACCCATCAATTGG